CCCCAAAACCCCAAAACCCCAAAACCCCTTCAAATGATATACATGTTAATTTATGAATTATTAAAAAATGAATAAATCAAAAGATTAAGCATTAATTTGAATTACTTTTTTCATCAGACTAGTCAAACAAGCTTAATCAATATATCGTTTATATACAAAAAAGAGAGGGGAGATAACTCTTCTATCTTATGAATTTATTCATGTAGCATATCTATTAGCTATAACAAAACTTTGATCCTCTAGTTTCATGAAACTGTGATCGATATCATTATTAATGATTGAGCTTTCATTGATCAATCTGCTTATATCATTACTATTTATGTCTTAATTAGAACATACTTTTTAGTAACTCTCGTTAAATCTCTTCAAAAACCCACCTAGGTAATGAGGTGAGTTGAATGAAAAAGACTTTCTATGTATTGGTTAAGTTGATTTGGGGCGATATACATCTGCATTTGGGGAAATGAAAGTCTTCTCAGAGAATTTATGCAAACATTTAATATCTCTTTCCATCTGCTTTTACAGAGTCTTTTCTTCCTCAAGGTATATATCGATCTCCTGATCTTCAATAGCTTTTTATTACTACTGTTATACTATTGTATTCTTTAAATTTTCTCTGTCAATTATCTACGACATTTTTAGCTTTATCTTGACAGGAGATTTTTTCTTCAGATTCTAAATTTCTATCTATCTTGTCTACTAGTTCTCTTTAGATAATGATTCATTTTAGGATGAGACTTTATTTAGGATTCTGATGTTTGATTTTGAAATTATTTTTTTTATTGGAACTATACTTGGCGCCTTTCCCAAGATCTATTTCTCCTCTTCTGCCTTATTTTGAGTAGTTTACTTCTGATCTACAATCACTCTATCCAATTTGACTTTACATTTACTTAGTTTAATAGTCTTTTTCTAAGTACTATTCTAAGCAGTTGACTGACTAGCATTATTTTCTGAGTTTTGGTTATTTTAACTATGCATTGAACTTAATAAACTATTTTAATCTGTTTAATTATAACTGTGCGCTCTTTTGCCAGATTTATCTGGCTAGCTTGCTTTATCAGGGATTTATGCTGAGTAGTAACTTAGAATTTTTATGTTTTTTGTTTTTTATAGGGTCTAATTTGCCAAATGATCAGTATTCATTGAAGTCAATCCTGTGGAGATTGATCCATAAACTCTAAGCGGGCTGTTGTTGCTGTTTTACTTTGTTAAATTGAAATTCTAAGATAACTTTGAAACTTGCTGATTATTGGCTCTTCTATAGAATGGTAAATGAATAGTACCACTTTTAGAGTTATCTTGGTTAGCATCGTTATCAAGAATCTTTTCTTATGATTTTGCATTTAAAATATTAATTTATCCAGTGATCAGAAATTAAGACTCAGATTTCTGCTGATTAATGAGTTTTATATTCTTAATCACATTTTATTAAGTTTTAGTGGCATTTTTAGCCTTATTAGTAACTTCAGTAATAGAAGTTACTCCGTATTCACTAACACTCGTCTAAGTATTCAATTGAACTTAATTGGTCTTGTTGGCATTCATAGCATTTACCAGGACTGCAACGCCTTGACTATTATTCAGCTAAGAGTTGCTGGTATTTTATTTTATTTGACTCTGATTAAAATAGCTTTTACTGAATGATGCTGACTATTAGTTGAACATCATATCATTTGATAGCCCTTCAATTTTCAAAGGCGATAAATTTTTGAATGAAGAAGGCTCCATAGAGGTCTAGCATTAAGATGCCGACTCTTCAGAGATAATAGATTGCTTTTAAAAAAGCTTAATTGTGTTAGTTTTAACCTTTGACAGGAAATTCTATCCTCCTGATGTAAGTCCCAACTTAATAGTTTGCTTTTTAGCTGCATTAGTAAAGTTTTGATCCTAACCATCTTGATTGAAGAGATGGATTTAGTTTGGTTAGGTATTCTCTTGGCCATTTAAATTGAAGTCTTGTAAGATTTCTATGGTTGATTCATCTCCCACACAATCCCAGTTATTCCCAATAATTTCTATACTATTATTTTAATAACTCAGATCTAAAGCCTCATTGGAATTCTCCTAGTCCTAGTTTTACTGAATGATGAATAGTTAACACTGAAATATTAATGAAAGGAATGTACATTAGTTGAATTGAAAAAAGTATCATTTTAGGTTGACTAAGAAGGGTAAAATTAAAGCTGAAAATTCTAAGTAGACTACTCATCTGACATTTCTAAAATAAATGAATTTAAATCTAATTTTTTAAATATCACTTATCAATAAGTTGAATCTCTATTAAAATTAAAATACTTCAATTAATTAAATTACTGTTTATCAATTGATTAGCAGATAAACTTTCTGATTAATCACATTATTTATTAGAATTAAATTTTTAAATGAGCAAATAACTAGCAAATATCAAGGTAAAACCATTTTCAAATACTTCTATATTAATCTCTTACTTAGAAAGAATAACTTCTTCATACAAGGGAAGATGATGCAGAGATAGAGATAATTGGTGCTGTTAAACTAATGGATGGTTTATTTCTAGGAGATGTGATCTGTGCAGAGGTAATTATATCCACCATTTTATGATGATTTATAAATGATACTAAAGTTCAGGATTTAGAATTCCTCAAGAGCAACAAAATTACGCATATATTGAACTGCTGTGGAGATCAGATTGAAAATGCCTTCTCTTAAAATGATTATGTCTACTTAAATTTGAACTGGGAAGAGGGAAAGGTAAATAAAAGATCAGTTAATCATGTTGTATTTAGACAATGTAATTGGACAATAACACAATATAAAATATTATTGACTTTCTTAGCAAAGCATTTGATAACTATGAGGGTGTTCTGATACATTCATTATACGGTAAAAACAGATGCTGTGTGGCAGCTGTAATATTTTTGATGAGCAGATTTAAATGGGGATTAATAAAAAGTCTTGAATATTTGAATGCTAAAAAACCAGGACTAGAAATGACTACAAGCTTATTAAAACATTTACTTGATTTTGAGCTAAAACTAGAAAATGGTGAAGAACAAACTGAATAGATCAGCAAGGACTGGGAAACAATAAATTATGGAAGCCCACTATTTGAGGAAGAAAGGACTGTTGTTAATACCTATTTGAATTCCATTAAGACTAATGGAGAAGAAGAAAAATTCGTACCACAGAAAAACTCAAAAAGAAAAAACCTTCCTATTAAATGGGCAAACAAAAGGAAGATCTTTTTTAGACATAAATTTGATGATGAAAATGAGCCTTAAAAAGATTAGAGTTAGACACTAGATTAACAAGACTATGATATTCCATCAAAGCAAAAAATGGACTTTCCTTTCATAGAGTAAAATAATAAGTATGAAACCATAACAATGATTGATATAAATGACATCAACGATAGATAATTCGAAGATGAAGATGAGTTAGATGATTTATATCCTCTTATATTGGATGAAACACATAAGTAACTTAATTTTGAGTTGAAAAAGAGTTTATAAGGGAACAATCCTTCTACAAATGATAAAGAAAACCCAAAAATTTAACAATAATCAATGTAAGTTGAAAGCGAAAAATAAAAAGAAGAATTCATCAAAGCCTAGATTGATGACAATTAAAACATTCATAGTAGAAATTTACAAAAAACTAACTACCAAGACCTTATTGATGTTATCAACAAAAAAGATAAAGAAAAAAGTCATTTTGAAATGACTTTTAATTAGACTAACACGTAAGATCAGTAAAAGTATTAAAGTATCTAGCAGCATGATGAATTAAGGGATAATTAAGAGCAAATTTAGCCTGAATCTCCAACTATAAAAGGAAAAAAATCGCTAAATAACCATAAAGGACCTTACCATAATCCTACTAGAGCTTCTCAAGAGCAGATCATGAGATTATCATCAATAAAAAAAGAATAATCAATGTTGCTAAATGATGATAATTAAAAAATAGAAGAAGAAAAAATTAATATTGCTGATTTAACAAGTAATCATTAATACTTTAAAAAGAAAAAAAACCTAATTCTAAATGACTTATTAGAAACTGATAATTTTGAAACGAATTTAATGAATGAAACAGGAGGTGTTGAAAGATATAATCCATTGAAAATAATCGGGAAAGATATGATTAAGCAAAATGAAAATAAAATAGATGAAGCAGAAATTGATTTTCAAGGGATTGATAATGATTTAGGATAAAATCATTCTATGAATAAAGTTTTTGAACAAAAGGATAGCAACTAAGTTAAAAAGTAAAAAGTTTAGTTTGATATTATCCCTACATCCTTTTATCGATTAGAGGATAGTAAGATTCAAGAATTATCTTAATAGAATCACTTAGATTAAATGCTTTCTTCAATAAGAAAAGAACCTCTTCTCAGGCCTGATGAATTCTTGTCAAGAGATAGAGCTTTTAGTTAGATTTCTTATAAAGTAGATAGTATGAAAATGTAAGTTAGTTAAAGTAAGCACTCTTATATAGAGCAATTGAAAGAACAAGCTGATTTAAGAAGGAATAATTTTTATGTAACTAGTATGAAAGATTAACCCTTCATGCCTTCTCTTAATAAAACTAATCTAGAAAAGATTTAATCAAATTATAAACAAAGTAGCCTAATGGATCAATAAAGTCCTAAAGATTCAGACTTCAATTCGGTTAAAGGCGATAACCTCTATCAATAATCCAGATTAAGCGTTAACAACCAGTAGCAAAAAATAATTTTACCTCTCATTCCAAAGGCAAAAGATTTTTTATCTGACAATAACCTTAAAATTTAGCAACCAGTAATTAAATAGAATTCTTTCTAGGTACAGCATAATAAATAATCTTCTGAAACATCAATATAAAATCTGCTTAACTCAACGACAAGCACTATTATTCCAGAAAGCATATTGTAAGGTGAAGAAAAAATAAGGTAATAGTAGAACTTAAGGATGCAAACTAGACTTCACTTTTTAGAGCATATAGAAAACTAGAAATAGCTGTATTTTATGAATAAAGGAGCTTCAATTAGTAGTAATTAGAATCAAAATCAAGCTCTTATTAAAACCTAAAATTCTCAGCAATAAAAAGGAGTTTATTTTTAACATACTCCACTTTACAATCTCAAAGTGAATGAATATGGTAACTAATTACTGCCAAGAAGTTTAGACAGTACTTTAGTCGTCTAGTAGGAAATAATAGATAAATACATTAGTAGTGGAAGAAATAAAGGAAATCACTTTAATACATTTAATCCCTCTTCTCCTTCCCAGGCATCTGACAAGTTAAATCATATTAACTTGCCTAATTATGGATTGGATGGAATTAACTCATTAAGTTAGCATCTTGATAAAAATAGTACAATCATTACCAAAGAAGATCTCATCAATAAGTATAAGTATAAAGGGGCAAATAAGCTATAAGAGACAACTAGAGCAGTAATTGCAGGAACCTCGGAAAAAAGAAGAATATTATGAAAGATTAAGCTGAGCCTTAGATTAATTCTATTAATATTTAAGTCTTTACGTGTGACTTTAAAAGTTAAATTATTAGATTATATAATAATTATAATTAAAGATAAAATGCAGAACGATTTGTATTAAAACCTGCCAAAGATCGGGCCTGCTTTCTCACACGTTGATGATAAATAACAACAAGTCGTTAACATGATTAAGAAGTACGAGGTAAACCCCTAATTGAAGGTAGCTATAAACATGGAAATTCCAGGCCTCAGAAAGAAGAAGGTAGCTTTTGCTGGTAAACCAAACAACAGAAGATTCATGGCATCCTGGATCTCATATGAGAGAAATGGTTTTTTGAATGTTGGTCTCTCAAGAAACTGGACCAGAATCGCATTCCCCATAGTCCCAGTTTTCTTCTTTGTCTACATGTGGAATCCAATCATTCACGGTACCACTTACATCCAGCACTACAATAACTATCAATGGGAAGGAATCTACTTCAAGTATGGCTCCAACAGACCAGTCTATACTGATCAAACCATTACCAGACTTGCTTGATTGTTTCAAGCTTGTCTATTTAGAGTTGCAACTTCGTGCAGCCTGTTATTTAAACATAAAAGTTAAATAATCTAGTTGATTTTTACATAGTATTCTCTTTCTCGAACATTAAATCATTTTCTGACTATTTCATATTTGTGAAAATTAAGGAAACTAAGTCTAGGGGGTTTTGGGGTTTTGGGGTTTTGGGG